GGGCTGCAGAGGTTTTGTGGCAACATCTACAACCAGACTGCTTAGAGACCTGGGAATTAAGGGCCAGAGCCAGCGTTCGGCAATCAGAGCTGTATCGGAGGCGGCAGAAGGCAGCAGTCAGTGGCTCTGGATGAAGAGGAAAGACCCCAGCTGGGCCCCAAAGTGAGAGGGCCAGGAGGTATGCAGTCAACAATGCTTGACTCAGGGATGAGGACGCCCCTGCCATGCATAGTCCCATGGGATGCTGGCTATCAACAACAAGGCAACTCCTATGACTAATTGGGAATGGGACGCAAGCGTAGGATTGATCACCCTGTCGCTGGCCGCCTTTGGGGAGGGTGTATAGTATGAAAGGCCGAAACACCCTAGGACCCAAAGGTTCACTACTGACGATGCGCTCCCCAAATTTCACCAGGCTCACTGTTCATGAACTCTTGGAAGTGCTTGCACAAAGGATAATAACATCTCATCCTGTGTTCTTTGGAATCGTAGCTACTTGTGCTACTAGGATAATGAGACACTGACAAGTAGCATTAGTAGCTACTTGTGCTACTAGGATAATGAGACACTGACAAGTAACATTAGTAGCTACTTGTGCTACTAGGTTAATGAGACACTGACAAGTATCATTAGTAGCTACTTGTGCTACTAGGATAATGAGACACTGACAAGTAACATTAGTAGCTACTTGTGCTACTAGGTTAATGAGACACTGACAAGTAACATTAGTAGCTACTTGTGCTACTAGGATAATGAGACACTGACAAGTAACATTAGTAGCTACTTGTGCTACTAGGTTAATGAGACACTGACAAGTAACATTAGTAGCTACTTGTGCTACTAGGATAATGAGACACTGACAAGTAACATTAGTAGCTACTTGTGCTACTAGGTTAATGAGACACTGACAAGTAACATTAGTAGCTACTTGTGCTACTAGGATAATGAGACACTGACAAGTAACATTAGTAGCTACTTGTGCTACTAGGATAATGAGACACTGACAAGTAGCATTAGTAGCTACTTGTGCTACTAGGTTAATGAGACACTGACAAGTAACATTAGTAGCTACTTGTGCTACTAGGATAATGAGACACTGACAAGTAACATTAGTAGCTACTTGTGCTACTAGGATAATGAGACACTGACAAGTAGCATTAGTAGCTACTTGTGCTACTAGGATAATGAGACACTGACAAGTAACATTAGTAGCTACTTGTGCTACTAGGTTAATGAGACACTGACAAGTAACATTAGTAGCTACTTGTGCTACTAGGTTAATGAGACACTGACAAGTAACATTAGTAGCTACTTGTGCTACTAGGATAATGAGACACTGACAAGTAGCATTAGTAGCTACTTGTGCTACTAGGTTAATGAGACACTGACAAGTAACATTAGACGTAGGGGAGGCTCAGGACCGGCTCAGAAAGTGTCTCTGGCGGCGTTGGCCACGAGCGGGAATGGAACTCGGCTGGTCGGTGCGGAGCGCAGCGCTCAGCACGACACTGCCAACAACAACAAACTTGAACTCTGACCCCGTTCTCTGACGTCACCGCTCAGCGTGACCTCATCGGCGTCAAACGCCACGGGGAGGTGTGCCTTGTTAGTGACGTCATGTGACCAAGGTATTCACCCAACTCACGCGCTCTTGAGCGTGACGTCACCTCCGCTCCAGTGCCAATCCTTATTTGGGCAAAGCCAGGCCCGGTGACTGGCGGCTCATTAACATAATTTATTCATGAAAGCCGTCGCGAGTTGAGAGCCGCTCATTGTGGGAGGGGAGTGTCATCGTACCCCGCAAGTGACGTCATGTCACCTGCTGCCGCGTGACGTCACGAGGGACCCGGGAAGTTTCCGCTCGGCCCGTGCGCTGAATTCCGAGGTGAGATTCTCATCGCGGTTGTTGTGGTGATTGTGATTGTTGTGGTGGTTGTTGTTGTTGTGGTGGTTGTTGTTGTGGTGTTGTTGTTGTGGTGGTTGTGGTTGTGGGTGGTGGTTGTGTGTGGTGGTTGTTGTTGTTGTGGGTGGTTGTTGTGGTGGTGGTTGTGTTGTGGTGATTGTGGTTGTTGTGGTGGTTGTTGTGTGTGTTGTTGTTGTGGTGGTTGTTGTGGTTGTGGTTGTGGTGGTGGTGGTTGTTGTTGTGGTGGTTTGTGGTGGTGGTGTTGTTTGTGGTGATTGTGGTTGTTGTGGTGGTTGTTGTTGTTGTGGTGTTGTTGTGGTGGTTGTTGTGGTTGTGGTTGTGGTGGTGGTGTTGTTGTTTGTTGGTGGTTGTTGTTGTTGTGATGGTTGTTGTGGTGGTGGTTGTTGTTGTGGTGATTGTGGTTGTTGTGGTGGGTGTTGTTGTTGTGGTGGTTGTTGTTGTGGTGGTTGTTGTGGTTGTGGTGGTTGTGGTTGTGGTGGTGGTTGTTGTTGGGTGGTTGTTGTTGTTGTGGTGGCTGTTGTGGTGGTGGTTGTTGTTGTGGTGATTGTGGTGGTGTGTATGTTGTGTTTGGTGGTGGTTGTTGTGGTGGTGGTTGTTGTGTGGTGGTTGTGTTGTGGTGGTGGTTGTTGTTGTGGTGATTGTGGTTGTTGTGGTGGTTGTTGTTGTTGTGGTGGTGTTGTTGTGGTGGTTGTTGTTGTGGTGATTGTGGTTGTTGTGGTGGTTGTTGTTGTTGTGGTGGTTGTTGTTGGTGTGTGGTTGTGGTGGTGGTGGTTGGTTGTTGTGGTGGTTGTGTTTGTGTGGTGTTGTGTTTGTGGTGGTTGTGTTTTTAGTGTGGTTGTTTGTGGTGGTTGTGTTGTTTGTGGTTGTGTGTGTTGTTGTGGTGGTGGTGGTTTGTGGTGTTGTTGTTGTTGTTTACCGAGGTAGAGCCTCGCTCTCTCTCTCGTAGGGATGTCAATTGAGTAGCAGCGAGCATGGAAGCGATGTGCAGATTGAAACTTTACAACGCGGGGCCTAGTGCCTCCTGCCCTCGGCTGGTCGCGTTCGCTTCAATTCTCTCGCTTAGTTGAGCAATTTCGATGTAAAGCTTCTTCGTGACTGCAGTGATTCATCTGCTTGGTTCTTTCGGTAAAGTCATCACGTAGAATGGAAATAATAAAATATTAAAAATAAACCAATGAAATAAAAAAAACATAATAACCTTTTAATATGTTCTACATCACGTAGAATAGAAATAATAAAATAGTCAAACTAATATGTTTAATATTTTTATTATTTTATTACTTCCATTCTAAGTGACTTTACCGAAAGAACCAAGAAGATAGTTTAGCAACCTATGGAAGAACGCGATCAGCCAGGAGATGCGTTAGTTGTGTTAACTCGAGATTTGAAGCTTTCGTGACTGCAGTGATTCATACTCTTAGGTTTGTTCGGTAAAGTCACCGTGTAGGTGAAAAATTAAAATTAATGAAAGTAAAATAAAATAAAAATCACGACGTTTCGGAGGCAACACAAGTCTCCGTTATCAGGTGGGACCGTCACAGCCACATTTGCTGCATCAAGTGAGGCGTGATTTTTTTATTATTTCATTAATTTTATTAATTTTAAATTCATTTGTTACCTAGATGGTGACTTTATCGACACAACCTAAGAGTACGTTAGTGGGTGTGTTGACCGACTCTCTGTTGTTGCATTACATTTCAAATATTAAGTTTGTTTGATTAAGTGTCTCTTTGTGTGCAGTCACCAAAGCTCCAAATCTCTCATTGACACAAGTCCGTAATTATAATGTTATAATAATTATAATATATAAATTATAATGTTATAATAAATATAATATATATTAATTATAATGTTATAATAAGTATAATATGTTATAATAATTATAATGTTATAATAATTATAATAATCAATATGCCCCTCCAATATATTGCTGTAAAATATTTGTACATAATAATTGCGATGCTCTGTTAATAAAAACAACTATTTGCTAAACCTTGGCCACGAAATCTGGACTTGTCTTAATATAACAATGCATAGATTTCTGTTCATATGATTGCGTTGTACTTCATGAATCCCTAATCTCTGCCATTACATACTACGAAACAAGAAAAGGTAAAAAAGAAAAAACAGCAATGTAATACAATACACTATTAGACATTGTATCAAATAAAACAAAGTCCATCCCATGTGTTAGTGAACTTTTACAAATATTTTAGGGAGGAAATGGCAGGAAATGAGTTTTCAAATTTAGATATTTTTCTGGGGGGGGACCCCAGACCCCCTGCAAGATTTGGTCCCACCAATGTTGATTTCGACACAGAGGCGTTGTTTCTCTGTGTACCTGTGTGTGTGTCTCTCTCTGTGTGTCTCTGTATTATCTCTCTGTGTGTCTATGTGTGTGTGTCTCTCTCTGTGTGTATATCTTTCTGTGTGTCTGTCATCTCTCTCTGTGTGTCTATGTGTGTGTCTCTCTCTGTGTCTCTGTGTCTCTCTCTCTGTGGTCTCTGTGTCATCTCTCTCTGTGTGTCTATGTGTGTGTCTTTCGGTGTGTCTCTGTGTCATCTCTCTCTGTGTGTCTGTGTCATCTCTCTCTGTGTGTATGTGTGTGTCTTTCTGTGTGTCTCTCTGTCATCTCTCTCTGTGTGTCTATGTGTGTGTCTCTCTCTCTGTGTGTCTTTGTGTCATCTCTCTCTGCTTATGTGTCTGTCTATGTGTCTCCGTGTCTCTCTCTAAAATTGAGCAATCTTTGGAAGAACGTAATCAGCCAGTTGGGGTGTTGACTGTTATGTTAGCTGACTCTCTGTGTTGTATTGCATTACATTTATAAGTTGACTAGGTTTTTTTTCTCTTTCATTTGTACCTGATGATGATTGCTTGTGTTGCAGTTGAAACGTCGTATGCTATTATTTAATTTATTTATTTAATCTACGTGACTTTACCGAAAGAACCAAAGGGTATCTTGCTTAAGTTTTAATTTCTCTTCACCTGTCTCGCTACTTTGTAACTTTGTTTATTTTAAATATTCACAGTTTATTTTTTAACAGGCCATGCCCACTTGAGCTGCTGTACCGCTCTTGTTTTCAGAAGCAACCTGCCCACAACAACAACAAGGTGGGGCTTGTCAACAGCGTGGTGGTGTTCACTCTGGACGCGTGGTGGTGTTCACTCTGGACGCGTGGCGGTGTTCACTCTAGACACGTGGCGGTGTTCACTCTGGACGCGTGGCGGTGTTCACTCTGGACGCGTGGCGGTGTTCACTCTAGACGCGTGGCGGTGTTCACTCTGGACGCGTGGCGGTGTTCACTCTAGACGCGTGGCGGTGTTTACTCTGGACGCGTGGCGGTGTTCACTCTGGACGCGTGGTGGTGTTCACTCTAGACACGTGGCGGTGTTCACTCTAGACGCGTGGCGGTGTTCACTCTGGACGCGTGGTGGTGTTCACTCTGGACGCGTGGTGGTGTTCACTCTAGACACGTGGCGGTGTTCACTCTAGACGTGTGGCGGTGTTCACTCTAGACGCGTGGCGGTGTTCACTCTGGACGTGTGGCGGTGTTCACTCTCGACGCGTGGCGGTGTTCACTCTAGACACGTGGTAGTGTTCACTCTAGACATGTGGAGGGGAAACCCGGGGATTGGGACGGAAATCAACGCGACCACTGGGAGAGAGAGAGAGACACGCAGCCTCGGCTGTGTTGGTTGATCCTCAATGAATTACTTGGTGGAGTGAGGAAGCATTAATACTGAGCAGGTGAAGGTGGCCAGGCGTGGGTCTGGACACACCACCACCTGTGAACCGTGCCAGTGCGTGACAGTGGTGGAGCCAGTGGGGGTGGGGTGGCACGTGCCCCCCCAACGATCCGATCGAAATCCCTAATTTCGATGGGATCATTGGGGTTTATTAGTAACTAGCTTCACTACCTGGCTTTGCCCGGGACTTGGATTCTTGTCTTGGATTAAAACACGTCCTACGCGGAGTGTTTGGGGGGGGGGTGATGTCAGCAAGCACGCTGTGTAATGCTTCCGCATGCGGGTGTGACATCACAGATATGACGTCACCGCTCACTTGCGTGCAAAATAAATGCATTATTGCGCCCCACCCCCTCCCCCCCAAAATACACAAGTCTATTTTTATACTTTTCGCATTGTGTACAGTCTGGAAGCTACCCACATGCCTAATTTCAAGTTTGTTGCATGTTTTCGAACAGACATTCACAAATTTCCCTTTTATATATATAGATAAATCAGCATTTTGGGACCCCCACCGCCACCGTGTGGCATATTATTACGTGCCAGGGACTCTGAGAGGACAACAGTCCAAGTCCATAATTGGCAATAAGAAACGGCAAAGCAGTTACAAGCGACTCGCAGAATTGTGCGCAGTTTCGTCTACAGTACACGACTTCCCTGAAGGCATCAACACCTTCAGTGAGCACGATGCCGATCACACGCGTCAAATAAAAAGCAAGGGACAAGTTCTTACTAACAACTCCTTACTAGCAACTTCTTGCTTAATAACTGGAGGGGTTTCCCCCCCTACCTGAAAATCCTGGCTCCGCCTCTTGAGTGTGTGACAGTATGAAGTTTATAGTTGCAGTAAAGTCTATTAACTCCATTGAGCACGGAGGTTTTTCCAAAACAGTAGTTGTATTTTTTTTCATCTGGAACTCTTTATAAGAATGGAGTCAGGAAGTTATCACAGCACACGGTGCAGCTGAAGTCGGAACTGTTCATCCCAGCATTCAAGGACATCCGTGCCTGGCTTCACACCTCTAAGTTGCGATTGAACATTAATTTATGCATTTCTGCAGAACAAAATTGTATTATTTTCAACACCCTTTGCTGTGTCAGCTGAATTTAGCTTTCATAAATATTCCTTTTGAAGCCAGACAGCCGAAATTGTGTGCTCGGAGTTTTGGGTTAACATTCATTTTGAAGATACGAGGGCTTCCAGGCACGGTTATAACCATTTGCCCTCTCATTGTGTGCCATAACAGCCCGTGTGATGAATTTGGGACACTTTTTCACTTTATCATGAATATATGAATAAGTATAGACGTGTAAGTCACGTGTGACTGTGTATATGCATTCTTCTGTGCATCGATATTGATGTGTATATGGTGTGGATATTCTTTTTTTCTGTCTGCAGCTGTCGCTGCCTCTGCAGAATTGCTCTGATGGAGCAAAGGCAGTCGGCGCGGTTTGGTGCAAAAAGGCAACAATGTGACCGGTGTGCATACAGCACGGATCATCCTGGAAATTTGACACAGCACCAGAGAACTCACACAGGAGAGAAACCGTTCAAGTGCAGTGTGTGTGGGAGGGCGTTTGCACAGTTGTCTGCTCTTGTAGCACACCAGAGAACACACACGGGAGAGAAACCCTTCAAGTGCACTGTGTGTGGGAGGGCGTTTTCAGATTCATCTGCTCTTATAAAACACCAGAGAACACACACGGGAGAGAAACCCTTCAAGTGCACTGTGTGTGGGAGGGCGTTTGCACAGTCATCCGCTCTTGTAACACACCAAAGAACACACACGGGAGAGAAACCCTTCAAGTGCAGTGTGTGTGGGAAGGCGTTTTCAGATTCATCTGCTCTTATAAAACACCAGAGAACACACACGGGAGAGAAACCCTTCAAGTGCAGTGTGTGTGGGAAGGCGTTTTTAGATTCATCCACTCGTGTAATACACCAGAGAACACACACGGGAGAGAAACCGTTCATGTGCAGTGTGTGTGGGAAGGCGTTTTCACAGTCAATTAATCTTGTAGCACACCAGAGAACACACACAGGAGAGAAACCCTTCAAGTGCAGTGTGTGTGGGAAGGCGTTTTCACAGTCAATTAATCTTGTAGCACACCAGAGAACACACACAGGAGAGAAACCCTTCAAGTGCAATGTGTGTGGGAAGTTGTTTTCACATTCATGTTCTCTTGTAGCACACCAGAGAACACACACGGGAGAGAAACCCTTCAAGTGCAGTGTGTGTGGGAAGGCGTTTGCACGGTCATCACATCTTGAACAACACCAGAGATCACACAAGCATCAGAAGATCCACAAGGAGTGGAGTCTGAAATCAGCTTGCGAAAGTCAAAGTGCCGCAATGAGCCCATCCCTCGTGAAACAAGAACCGGAAGACAATTCCAGCTTGGACGCTTTTAAAGGTATCGAGGTGAAACATGAAGAGGTGAAGGTGAAATTTGAAGAAGTGATGGTGAAGAGCGAAGAAGTGATGGTGAAATGTGAAGAAGTGATGGTGAAGAGTGAAGAAGTGATGGTGAAATGTGAAGAAGTGATGGTGAAGAGCGAAGAAGTGATGGTGAAGAGCGAAGAAGTGAAGGTAAAATGTGAAGATGAAGATTCAACTCCAAAATCTGACCTTCACATCGATGGAGGCAACGTGAAGCAGGAGGAGAATTCTGACTGTGAGGCCGAGCGAGGCAACTCCCAGCAGTTTGTGGAAGTGGAGGTGTGGGTGGACTTCCTCCGAGACAATACAAAGTCAAATGGAGACCCGGTAGATGCGTAAGCTTGAGATGATGTCGCTCCAATAGATGCACCTTTGTCACAGGCTATTAATGACAAGAATGAAGTTGAACACTCAATTCCTAGGTTCAACCTGCAGAGTAAGAGCGGCCAGTCTGTGTGGACCTGTGTGTTGGGATGATCTCTAACCAGGAGCGAGAGCCAATAAGCTCCCAAGCATACACAGAGTTATCAATTGCATTTATATGGTGCTTGCTTAATCGCCTCGGCAACTCGGAGTTTTGCAAGTAACCTGTACAGATCACTCAGGTGAGACTCGTAGTTCTTGTGATACAGGTCAAAGGGTACTTTTGTGTTTTCAGGAAGCGTCTGCCTCTGGAGTAACTCATTGTCTTTGAAATAGGGAGCACACTCGGATCATTCATCAGTTACAAGGCATACCACTCAAAAGTTACACGTAGTGGAGATACATTTTCTACAACACGAATTATAATTTTGTATTACGTGTTGACGTAGATTTTGTCGAATTAGGACGAGAAATGGTCCTTGCTGATTAACGTCTGGATGTTGACAACCATGGGTTGAAGCAAGCCTGACCGCCTGCAGTGCCCCTCACAACCATTTACGGCCTTGGGCCAGGAAAGTCACGAAGAAAATTGTCCACGAACGACGCATCCACGCAAGCACCCGATGCTCCCTTTTGAAGTTTTAAAATGAAACAACTTTGAATTGTATATTGTTTTGCATTTGATAATTGTATTTCTTCATTAAAAGCTGATATCATTTTCCATCTGGAAGACTTCATTGAAAACGACATTTCGTGTGAATTTTCTCTCGTCGTTAAGTAGATGGCCTTGCCGGGGTTCGGTTCGATGCGGACTTTCTCCTGGTTGGGATCGCGGGGTGGAGATAAGGCGACATAGAGCTGGCCGTGCCAGAATACCGCCGTCTGCAGATCGATTCCAACGCGATCGAACGTCTGTCCCCTGCTCCTCCGTCGTTCATGCAGGGGGCGCGTAGGTTTGCAGCGCCTCCTGCATGAAAACTAAGGAAAGTACAGGGTTTACCACAGATGAAGTTGTGTGCTTATATAAGAGTACTCGCGGGAAGTACCCGGCGTGAAATTTCCCACCTTATATCGTAATCTATAGGATACTAAGGCTAAGCACACCCGAGGATTGCACTTTTGTTGAAAAATGAAGTTGCAAATATTTGTCCATTATTGGCCAAAAACGGCATAGGTTAGTATGCTGATATTCTATATTGGGACGTGCACATTTCATCATAAAATGTTCCACTTTTAATCTAATACATAGCATACTAGGGGTAAATACAATTGATGAATGAACTTTTTGTTGAGAAAGAAAGCTATGAAAATTTGGCTTATTTTGGTTAAAACCGGCATAAGTAAGTATCACTGATTTTATTTTTGGGGCGTGAAAATTTAATCGTGAAATTTCCCACTTTTAAAGTAATATAGAGCATACTAATGCTTAACAAAATGGAGGAATTAACTTTTTCTTGGAAAATCTAGCTATGAAAATGTAGCAAATTTTGGCCAAGAACGGCATTGGTAAAGTATGTCGATTTGATGTTTTTACTTCAAATTTCATGGTGAAATTTCTCGCTTTTAATGTAATATATAGGCTGCTCAACACAACCGAGGAATGCACTTTTTGTTAAAAAATACAGCTGTAAAAATTCGTTCAATTTTAGCCTCGCTAGTGACGTCATGTCACCAAGGTATTCGCCCCACCCCCCCGACCGCGAAGCTCTTGAGCGTGACGTCACCTCCGCTCGGCCGCTGCCGATATCTGTCCCAGTGCCAATCCTTATTTGGGCAAAGCTACTTCCGGTGACTGGCGCCTCATTTTTTTTGCGACGGGTTCAGCAGCCCCGCCCCGTCCCTCCACGTCTGGGCTGGTCTCATTAACATAATTTATTCAAGTTAAGTCCCATTCGTCGTGGGAGGGGAGTGTCTTGTACCACGCAAGTGACGTCATGTCACCGCCTGCTGCTCTCGCGTGACGTCACGAGGTAACAGGAATCTGCCGCTCCGCGCGTGAACTGCAATCCGAGGTGAGAAATTCTCATCGCGGTTGTGGTGATTGTTGTTGTGGTGGTGGTGGTTGTGGTGGTGGTGGTTGTTGTTGTTGTTTACCGAGGTAGAGCCTCTCTCTCTCTCGTAGGGATGTCAATTGAGTAGCAGCGAGCATGGAAGCGATGTGCAGATTGAAACTTTACAACGCGGGGCCTAGTGCCTCCTGCCCTCGGCTGGTCGCGTTCGCTTCAATTCTCTCGCTTAGTTGAGCAATTTCGATGTAAAGCTTCTTTCGTGACTGCAGTGATTCATCTGCTTGGTTCTTTCGGTAAAGTCATCACGTAGAATGGAAATAATAAAATAATAAAAATAAAACAAAATAATACAAATAAAACATAACATTTTATTATGTTTTATATCACGTAGAATGGAAATAATAAAAGTCTTATTTTTAATATTTTCATTATTTTATTATTTCCATTCTACGTGACTTTACCGAAAGAACCAAGAAGATAGTTTAGCGACCTGTGGAAGAACGCGATCAGCCAGGCGATGCGTTAGTTGTGTGTTGACCGACTCTCTGTGTTGCATTGCATTACTTTTTCAAATATTAAGTTTGTTTGATTAAGTGTCTTTCTCTGTGCTGTCACCAAAGCTCCAAATCTCTCATTGACACAAAGCCGTAATTATAATATATTTTAATAATTATAATATAAACAAATTATATGTCTGTGTCTCTCTCTGTGTTATCTCTCTCTGCTTGTGTGTCTCTGTCTGTGTGTGTGTCTCTCTCTGTGTGTCTCTGTGTCATCTCTCTCTGTGTCTCTGTGTGTGTATTTCTGTGTCTATGTGTGTGTGTCTCTCTCTGTGTGTCTCTGTGTGTGTATTTCTGTGTCTATGTGTGTGTGTCATCTCTCTCTGTGTCTCTGTGTGTGTATTTGTGTCTATGTGTGTGTGTCATCTCTCTGTGTCTCTGTGTGTGTATTTCTGTGTCTATGTGTGTGTGTCATCTCTCTCTGTGTCTCTGTGTGTGTATTTCTGTGTCTATGTGTGTGTGTCATCTCTCTCTGTGTGTCTCTGTGTGTGTATTTCTGTGTCTATGTGTGTGTGTCTCTGTGTGTCTCTGTGTGTGTTGACCGACTCTCTGTGTTGCATTGCATTTGTAAATGTTACGAACTTTGTTTAAGTGTCTCTCTCTCTGTGTCCTCGTGTTGTCGCGCTGTTATATACTAGTCACCAAACCTCCAAATCTCTCATTGACACAAGGCCCTACTTATAATATGTTGTAATAATGATACTATGTTATAATAATTATATGTTATAATAAATATAATATCTTATAATAATTATAACATGTTATAAAAATTATAATATATAATAATGTTATAATAAATATAATATCTTATTATAATTATAACATGTTATAATAATTTTAATATGGTATAATAATTATAATGTTATAATAATGATACTATGTTATAATAATTCAAATATGCTCAAAATGTCCCCCCCAATATGTTGCTGTAAAAATATTTTTATAAAAATAGTAATTGCGATGCTCTGTTGATAAAAACAATTTGCTAAACCTTGGCCATGAAATCTGGACTTGTCTTCATATCACAATGCATAGATTTCTGTTTATGTGATTGTGGTTATGGTTGTACTTTATTAATCCATAATCTCTGTCATTACATACTATGAAACAAGAAAAGGTAAAAAAGAAAAAACAGAGCAATGTGATACAATACACTATTAGACATTGTATCAAAACAAATTCCATCCCATGTGTTAGTGAAATTTTACAAATATTTTAGGGAGGAAATGGCAGGAAATTAGTTTTCACATTTAGATATTTTTCTGGGGGGGTCCCCCGACCCCCTGGAAGATTTGCCCCCCCAATGTTGACTCCATGGCTACGGCCTTGCATTGACATGCTAATTTCTCTACCCCCACCCCCTCTCTGCCCCCCTCTCTATTTAAGGCCTCGACACAAAGGCGTTGTTTCTCTGTGTTCCTATGTGTGTGTGTGTGTCTCTCTGTGTGTCTGTATCTCCCTGTGTGTCTCTGTGTCATCTCTGTCTGTGTGTTTCTTTGTCATCTCTCTCTGTGTGCCTATGTGTGTGTCTATATGTGTGTCTCTCCGTGTGTCTGTGTATCTCTCTCTCTGTGTGTCTCTGTGTCATCTCTCTGTGTGTCTGTGTCTCTATGTGTGTCTCTATGTGTGTCTCTATGTGTGTCTCTGTGTCATCTTTCTCTGCTTATGTGTCTGTCTGTGTGTCTCCGTGTCTGTGTTTTATCTCTCAAATTGAGCAATCTTTGGAAGAACGTTATCAACCAGGTGGGGTGTTGACTGTTATGTTAGCCGACTCTCTGTGTGGTATTGCATTGTATTTCTAAGTTTTCCAGGTTTGTTTCCTCTTTCATTTGTACCTGACTAGCTTTACTACTTGCCTTCGCCGGGACTTGGATTTTTGTCTTTGATCAATACATGGCCAATACCGGGGGTGGGGGGGGGGGGAGGGGGCGTGACGTCAGCATGCACACTGCGTGACGTCGGCATTCGGGTGACATCACAGATGTGACGTCACCGCTCACTTGCCGTGCAAAATAAATCCCATTTATCACACCCCCCCCCCCACTCCAAATACAAAAGTCTATTTTTATACGTTTTACATTGTGTGCAGTATGGGAGTTAGCAACATGGCAAATTAAAAGTTTGTAGCCTAGTTTATTATAACCATTATTTCCCCCCCCCCCCCGCCAGCTGTGCATTGGTGCGGAATACAGGGTCTACGTGGAGGGATTGGGGGGAGGGGGGGATGCGTGACGTCATCAGACAATGCGTAATGCTGCCGCATGCGGGTGACATGACAGAGATGTGACGTTACCGCTCATTATTTGTCTCCCCAGTGGCGATGTTCACACACCACACCAGTTACTTGTTTGAGACTAAGTCGACCTAGGGGAGGCCCAGGACCGGTTCAAATAATCGTCACCGGTGGTGGCCGTGAGTGGGAATTGAACTCGGGTCGCCGGGTTCGTAGCGCAGCGTAGCGCTGACCACTACACTACAACGCGTTACACTTCCACATGCGCGGGTCACATGACAGATTTGACATCACAGCTCACTTGCCGTGCAAAACATATATGCATTGTTGAGCCCCCCCCCCCCCAAAAAAGTGTATTTTTTTTTTTGCATGGTCTGGAAAGTACCCACATGGCAAATTTCAAGTTTGTTGCATGTCGGGAAGTATGCTAAACATTTTGAACAGACACATAATCACAACTTTGCCTTTTATATATATGAAGATGATGATTGCTTGTGTTGCAATCGAAACGTCGTGTGCAATTATTTATTTATTATTTTCTTTATACGTGACTTTCCAGAAAGAACCAAAGAGTATCTTGCTTAAGTTGTAATTTCTCTTCACCTGGCTCGCTACTTTGTAACTGTTTTATTTTAAATATTCGCAGTTTTTTTTTTCATTTTTTACCAGGCCACGCCCGCTTGAGCTGCTGTACCGCTCTTGTTTTCAGAAGCGACCTGCCCACAACAACAATAACAAGGTGAGGCTCGTCAACAGCGTGGCGGTGTTCACTCTAGACACGTGGTGGTGTTCACTCTAGACGCGTGGCGGTGTTCACTCTAGACGCGTGGCGGTGTTCACTCTAGACGCGTGGCGGTGTTCACTCTAGACGCGTGGCGGTGGTCACTCTCTACATGTGGAGTGGAAACCCGGGGATCGGGAAGGAAATCCACTTGACCACGGGGAGAGAGAGAGACACGCAGCATCGGCTGTGTTGATTGATCCTTAATGAATTACTTGGTGGAGTGAGGAAGCATTAATACTGAGCAGGTGAAGGTGGCCAGGCGTGGGTCTGGACACACCAACACCTGTGAACCATGCCAGTGCGTGACAGTGGTGGAGCCAGTGGGGGTGGGGTGGCACGTGCCCCCCCAAAGATCTACACAACAAAGGCTCATTCCTTGCAGCATGCTTCAGCCGCACCAAACCTCACAATGGCTCCTCCCACCCTCAACCAGTATATATACAAGGACTGTTTTCTTGGAATTTCTCATTTACTTGATGCAGCTGTCATGCTGTGACAGTTCCACCTGAAGACGGAAGCTTGTGTTGCCTCCGAAACGTCGTGATTTTATTTTTTATTTTACTTTTATTAATTTTAATTTTTTACCTACGTGACTTTACCGAAAAAACCTAAGAATATGAATCCTTGCAGTCACGAATACTTCAAATCTAGAAATAAATACGAGGGCTTCCTGGCACCGTTGTGACCAGTTGCCCTCTCATTGTGTGCCATAACATCCCGTGTGATGCATTTGGGACACTTTTTCACTATATCATGAATATATGAATAAGTATAGACGTGTAAGTCACGTGTGACTGTATATATGCATTGCTACTGATGTGTAGATGGTGTGGATATTTTTTTCTGTCTGCAGCTGTCGCTGCCTCTGCAGAATTGGTCTGATGGAGCAAAGGCAGTCGGCGCGGCTCAGTGCAAAAAGGCAACAATGCGACCTGCGTGCCAACAGCACGGATCGTCCTGAACATTTGACAAGGCACCAGAGAACTCACACAGCAGAGAAACCCGTCAAGTGCAGTGTGTGTGTGAAAACGTTTGCACAGTCATCTGCTCTTGTAGTACACCAGAGAACTCACACAGCAGAGAAACCCTTCAAGTGCAGTGTATGTGGGAAGGCGTTTGCACGTTCATCTACTCTTGTAGAACACCAGAGAACTCACACGGGAGAGAAACCCTTCAAGTGCAATGGGTGTGAGAAGGCGTTCTTACTTTTATCTACTCTTGTAGCACACCAGAGAACACACACAGGAGAGAAACCCTTCAAGTGCAGTTTGTGTGAGAAGGCGTTTGCACAGTCATCTACTCTTATAATACACCAAAGATCACACACGGGAGAAAAACCCTTCAGGTGCAGTGTGTGTGGGAAGGCGTTTGCACAGTCATCTACTCGTATAAAACACCAGAGAACACACACGGGAGAGAAACCCTTCAAGTGCAGTGTGTGTGAGAAGGCGTTTGCACGTTCATCAAATCGTCGTGTCCACCAGAGAACACACACGGGAGAGAAACCCTTCAAGTGCAGTGTGTGTGGGAAGGCATTTCCGCAAAAATCTGCTCTTAAAAAACACCAGAAAACACACACGGGAGAGAACCCCTTCAAGTGCAGTGTGTGTCCAAAGGCGTTTGCACAGTTATCGACTCTTGTAGCACACCAGAGAACACACACGGTAGAGAACCCCTTCAGGTGCTTTCCGTGCGGGAAGGCGTTTGGACTTTCACCACATCTTCAAAGACACCAGAAATCACACGCGCATCAGAAGATCCACAAGGAGTGGAGTCTGAAATCAGCTTGTGAAAGTCAAGGTGCCTCAATGAGCCCATCCCTCATCAAACAAGAACCGGAAGAAAATCCCAGCTTGGACACTTTTAAAGGTATCGAGGTGAAATGTGAAGAAGTGATGGTGAAGAGTGAAGAAGTGATGGTGAAAGGCGAAGAAGTGAAGGTAAAATGTGAAGATGAAGATTCAGCTCCAAAATCGGACCTGCACATCCATGGAGGCAACGTGAAGCAGGAGGAGAATTCTGACTGTGAGGCCGAGCGAGGCAACTCCCAGCAGTTTGTGGAAGTGGAGGTGTGGGTGGACTTCCGAGACAATACAAAGTCAAATGGAGACCCGGTAGATGCGTAAGCTTGAGACGATGTCGCTCCAATAGATGCACCTTTGTCACAGGCCTTTAATGACAAGAATGTGAAGTTGAACACTCAATTCCTAGGTTCAACCTGCAGGGTAAGAGCGGCCAGTCTTTGTGGACCGGTGTGTTGGGTAGATCTCTAACCAGGAGCGAGAGCCAATAAGCTCCCAAGCATTCACTGTTATCAATTGCATTTATATTGTGCTTGCTTAATTGCCTCGGCAACTCGGAGTTTTGTATCGTTTCTCGTCTCAAACACTCGAAGAGCATCCCCAAGTAGCAGCTGCCCCTGTGTGGCACAAGGTGGTGGCCCTGCACCGGCCTGCATGTGGACAAGAGCCTGTCAGTAGGGGGCGCTGGTTGATGTGGGATCTTGGTTGTGGAGTTTGTAAGTAATGTTTAGAATTTTTATCAATTTTTACCCAGACGCCAGCATGCAATGGCCTACTCGTTTTGAATGGCGCAATAGTATGTTGTTTGCACTATTAAGCAGACGGTGCATATTTTTTTAAATTAGCTTCTTGTTAAAACGATGTAACCTGATGCAGCATATTTCATTGCAGTAATTCAATTTTGTTAAAAATTACTCAATAATTTTGAATGAATACTTGTATGATTGTCTGCGTACATGTACCATTTTGTCTATAAGGGTCAAACATTGAATAAGTTATGTTAGGACAAAGTGTGTGTTTTGCAAGTAACCTGTACAGATCACTCAGGTGAGACTCGTAGTTCTTGTGATACAGGTCAAAGGGTATTTTTGTGTTTTCAGGAAGCATCTGCCTCTGGAGCAACTCATTGTCTTTGAAATAGGGAGCACACTCAGATCATTCATCAGTTACAAGGCATACCACTCAAAAGTTACACGTAGTGTAGCAATGTAAATGCGCTGTGTACACTTACCTGCAGGGGCAGACAAGGTCCAGCAGGGGCAGTCGCTATATCCCCAGCCCCAAAGCAGGTGGGGGCTGTGGGGTGTCCTGAATCCCCCAGGACCCCTCCCAATAGGAGGGGGCTACTGGGATCCCCCGGAGCCCCCTCTGGAACTCTCCGGAAGGGAGGCGGAGCCAGGGACTGATGCACGGGTGCTGGATACACAAGCCGGAAGGGTCCGGGGCCAGTCCAAGACAAGCTAGAAGACCAGCGAGCTAGGACGCTGGGACCCCCTCACCCCGCTGCACTTGTGGGTGCCGGGACTCTGTGGGCCAGTGGTGAGACCCTGGGAACCCCTGGCCGGACAGGGGGGGGATTAAATAAATAAAATATTAACCATTTCGGATCTTAACTGATTGTGTCCACGTTTACGGTGACTTTCAGACCGCGTTCCACTCACTGACATTGACTATATATCTTGTATTCTCCGCAGGGAATGGATTCTTTGCTCCGTTCATGCGACGGTCAATGGTATAGTGTATAACATATTGTATAATAAATAGTATTAAAGTGTAATGTTTGATACAATGTGTAAGGTAATATATAGTATCGAAATTGTATAGTGAATATACAGCAGTGTGGTATACAGTTGGGTGGGTAGAATAATACAGTGTAATATTACACTATGTATTATTCTAAGACATAGGGTAGTGTATAGTAATACAGTATACAATTTAATACTATGTGGTTTATACTTTAGCGTTTTACGTTGTTGTTTAGTTACTGCAGCTACATACTATTAACATTCCTTCCCTTTATTAATGCTACCCCTATCCCCCTCCCTTTGATGCTGCTTATCCTGCATAATGCGTGGGCATTATGCAGGATTAGCATTTCACAAATAGCACTAATCACATTCCTGCATTTCCCATAAATATGCTAAATTCCTCTTGATATGAAGATTATTTTCTCAATGGGCATTTCCCACCCTCCCCCTTCCAACCCAGCTTAAATAGACGCTCCAAGCGTGGTGGTGTTTTCTTTTAGACGCTGTCGCCTCGACAGACCTGTCTTCACCTGAGGACGGCTACTTGTGTTGTGGCCAAAACGTCGTGAGAATTATTTTGTTTTATTTTTTATTATTTTATTACTTCCCTTCGACGTGACTTTACCGAAAGAACCAAGAAGATAATATTTTTGTCCTAAAAAGTGTAAAATTTTGGAGAAAAAAAATTCACGAACATTAATTGTCACGCACGAGTCTGTGTGGAAAATGTCAGCTCGATTGGATCACGGGAAGTAGGTTAAAAAACGACCGAAAGGTTTGCACGGTCGTAAGCAAGCAAGCGGACGTAATATAAAGGATTTAACAAGTAAACCCGTAAAAACAAAGTTTTTCACTATAAATCCTTTATATGCGTGGCGGCTAGAGTCTTCTCGTCCTCTGGCTTGAGATGGCTGCCACCTATGGGTCAGATGATTGTCTGCCAGTATTAAGCAATTGGTAATTAAATATTTAATTTGTTTTCCCTAAACAGTGTAAAATTTTGGGAATTTTTTTTCACGAACATTGTCTCGCACAACGAGTCTGTGTGGAAAATGTCAGCTCGATTGGATCACGGGAAGTGGGTTAAAAAACGACCGAAAGATTTGCACGGTCGTAAGCAAGCACGCAAGCAAGCAAGCGAACTTAATATACAGGATTTAAAAATGCGTTAAATTTTAGATAAAAACGGAAGAGGTTAGAATGCCGATGTTCTGTTTGCGACGTGAACATTTCATCGTGAAATTTTCCACTTTTAATCTAATACATCGCATTATAAGTCTAAATACAAGAGGAATGAACTTGTCCAAAAATAAAGCTGTGAAAGTTGGGCTTATTTGGGCTAAAAACGGCACAGTATGCCGACTTACTTTTAATACTCGAAAATTTCATGGATGAAATTCCCAACTTTACATAATATATAGGATACTAAGGCTAAACACAACCAAGGAATGGACTTTTTATTGAAAAATAAAGCTGTGAAATTGGGCAAAAAGCCGATTTGCTTTTTTTTTTACTTTAAATTTTCATGGTGAAATGTCCCACTTTTAATGTAATTAAAAATAAAATTGCGGAAAATTTTGGTCTAAAACGGCATAGGTTAGTATGCTGATTTTCTTTTTGAGACGTGAAAATGTAATCGAAAAATGTCTCACTTTTAATGTAATATACAGCATACCAAGGCTAAACCCAACCAAGGAAATTAGTTTTTGGTAGAAAAGTGGGCCAATTTTTTGGCAAAATGCCGATTTGCTTTTTTTTACTACAAATTATCATGGTGAAATGTCCCACTTTTAACGTCATATATAGCATACTAACGCTAGACAATCGGGGTGAATTCACTTTTTCTTGGAAAATTTAGCTATGAAAATTTTGGCAAAAAACTGCATAGGAGCCCCTAACCCCAACTATCCCAACCCTAACCCCTAAACCCTTAATCCCAACCCTAATCCCTAACGCTAATCCATATGCCTTGAAACGCGTCTCGGCGAGACGAGTTGAATCGTATAGTCGAAGGGCACACACCACTTCAAGGTTACCAAGGCTCTCCATGTCTAACTTTGACTTCACTGCGGTGTACAACTGTGCATCAGCAGCACATTGATGGGACTTGATGTCATGCAATGAGATGACACCGGCTATCGGAGAGACGTGTTGAAGATAGCGAGGGCCCCAGGATGAATCCCCATGATACGCCACCTACACACAGCACAGGTAACGACTGTTCATTGCCCAGCCTGACCAACTGTGATCGACCATGGCATGACTCGGTCCACCCCAGTGGCGCAGCGAATACACCGAACCTTGACCTTGGTCGTTGGTGTCGAAGGTGGCCGAGAGAGTGGCCAGCCCCCAAGGCAGTCGCCCTCCAACAACAACGGAGAAGCGACGCTCACAATAACGAGCGGAGTGCCGGGCGGCTAAAACGCAGCAAGTTGGCACAGTGTGGTGGTACAGCTGGTGCACCTAGCCTGGCACAGTGGGGGGGGGGGGGGGGACTTGTAAACCACTTATTTAAGATTCCTTAATTTTGAATGTATGCACCTTCCGCCCAAAGTAAATTCCTTGTCTGTGCGAACTTTCATGGCGAATAAAACCCTTTCCGATTCTGAAAAACCATTTCTGAACTCTGGTAGCAGTCGGCGAGGCTCCGCTCGGAGATTATTCCCTCCGGGCAGTGCGGGGTTTGCGCCGTGAACAGACGTTAGCACAGAGCATCGGTGCGGTGTCTGTGGTTTGTTGTTTGACTTGCATCCCACTGGGATGTTTGCACACAGCGTTGGTGTACGGTGCTTTTTCTGCAATATTTTGCCGTCTTTTCTTGGATTTTCTGTTTGCACTTAGTCACATATTCACTTTAAGATGTTTTTTGTTCATGTTTTTGTTTGTTGCGGTTGCACCCGATTCAAGAGCCGAATGGCTCACAGGGCTACACCTAATACATGAACTTGTGTGTGGAGTGGCTGAGTGGGGGGACGCGCTGCTAGAGGGCAGAGCCGCAGCACGAGCGCTCGTTGATAGAATCGCCTGCAGGGGCGTGTGTTCACGCCGCCGCGTGAGCACGAGTGGTGGTGGTGTACGCGGCATGTGGAGTAACCCCGTGTAGCCACGTCCCTCAGAGGGCTCCGCAGGAGCCGATGGACGCGGTGGAGGGAGTGGAGGGGGCGGACGTCGCACCCCACCTGCCCGGCGAGGGCGGGGACGCCGGCCCCCACAAGTGCGACTCCTCGACTCCTCTACCGCACGGGGGGGGGGGGGTCTCTGCCTCTCCTCGTCCACCCCGCCTTCATGAGGTGCTCGCTAACAGCACTTGCCCCAAGCCTGTTAAGGCTACACGGGGGAGCTTTGGCTTTGAGATGGAAGAGGGGGGGGTAGATGCCACAGAAGGAGACACGAGGTGGGGGTCACGGTAACTTAAAACTCGACCCTTTATTGATCTCCACAACCCCCTTTCACAGACCTGGGCCCCTTACCCCCCGCGACAGTCACACGAACGGAATAACCCACGTAAAAAAAAACCCCACAACCACGATGACGATCAAGCCACCACCACCAACCTCCTCAACCACCACGACTCACGATGGCGGCAGCTACCCAACCCCCACAAGCCGCCTCTGCCTGCTCGACAACCCTCGTCAACAACACAACCCCCCACCCCTCCCCCCCACTTAGCGTCCCCTCCCCCCACCCTCCCCCCCCTACTTCCCGGCCGCTTGCCTCCAGAGTCCGGAGTGGACGAGGGTTCCGGAATCCGGAGTGGGACAAGGGGGTGCAGCACCACGGGCAGCGCACGACACCCAGGGGTCCCGGGATTCTGGACTCCCAGGATTCTGGATTCACAGGGTCCCGGGATTCTGGACTCCCGGGATTCTGGATTCACAGGGTCCCGGGATTCTGGACTCCCGGGATTCTGGATTCAGGGTCCCGGGATCCTTGACTCCCGGGATTCTGGACTCACAGGGTCCCAGGATTCTTGACTCCCGGGATTCTGGATTCACAGGGTCCCAGGGATTCTGGACTCCCAGGGTCCTGGGATTCTGGACTCCCAGGGTCCCAGGATTCTGGACTCACAGGGTCCCAGGTTTTCTTGACTCCCGGGATTCTGGACTCACAGGGTCCCGGGATTCTTGACTCCCAGGATTCTGGATTCCAGACTCCCACCCAGGGGGGCTCCTAGTAGGGGCGGTCGCGATGCTCGTGGCGGTAGTCACTTCTGCAGGAGGTAACAGACACAACAACCAAAACAACCGCCATCAAACACCACAATCACCACCACCAATAACAACACCCGCCATTCACCACTAAGTGACGGTGACATCACCAGGGCGCCTGTGCCAGGCCAGGTGCACTTTGAGGCCACGTGAAGTGTCCAAGACTCGCTGCCGACAGGTGACGGGACAGACCCAGCAGGTGCAATGGGTCGGCTGACTGAGATGACCGGGAGATGCACCACCACCTGTACCCCCCCCCCACTGTGCCAGCTTGCTGCATTTTAGCCGCCCGGCACGCCACTCGTTGTTGTGAGCGCTCCTCTGCCCTCCGTTGTTGCTGGAAGACGACTGCCTCCGACTGCCCAGTAGCATCAGCATCCTTCACGAGCCTCCTCCACAGAGGTCGAACCTGATACCGCTGGTACCGGTCATCGGCAAGTCCACTCAGCTCCACATTCTCCCATTCCACATCAGTCCATCTCTCCCCCAGCCCGTGTCGTGTCCATTTAGTCTCCTCTATGCGGAAAAACGGAAGCTGCTTGGGTATGCAGTGGCTAGGCATGTGGGCTAAATGACCCAGCCAACACAGCCTCGCCTGCCGGAGCAGCTCACCGATGGGAATGTGTCCAGATCTTTCAACAATTTTGTAAACTCCTCACACAATCCAGCCTGCTGGTTAAACCCAGGGTGGATCCGTGGGCAGACCAGCCTCAATGTTTCTCACCGGCACAGATGTTCCATTAGAGGGGTCCACGTTTCATAAGCATAGAGAAGGGAGGGCATGACTGTGGCCGAGAAGACCCGAAGCTTCGTGCGGAGCGACACACAGCGTTACGCAGCCGATGAAAAGATAATGGCCACCTGACTGATTCGGAGTGAGACCTCTTGCTGTCAAACTGGAGCTGGCCATAAGCACACGGGCCAGGTATGGCAACTCTCCACAACTACTCCCATCACCAGTGAGGAGCTGAGGGGGTGGAGTGGTTGTGGTGGCACAAAACACCCAGACAGGTCGCTTCGCTTTGGTGGAGCTGAAGGTTAAGACCCCATACTTCTTCTTAGTGGCTCACTCCAGGTTCAGCACCACCACCACAACCACCATGCAAGCATGTGTGTGTACGTGTGTGTACGTGTATGTATGCGTATGCGTGTGTGCACGTGTGTGTACACGTGTATGCGTGTGTGTACACGTGTGTGTACGTGTGCAACACGCAATCAGGGCAAGGGGAGGGTCCTCACTCACCGGCCGTCCATCTTGCCAGGGCCCCCACCGCCCATCCAGCCTCCCCGGCCCCCCCTGAACCCCCCACGGTCGCCACCCCCCCGGCCCCCCCGGTCCATGCCACCCCCCCGGCCTCTAAAGCCACCGCCACGGCCCCCGCGGAATCCGTCTCCTGCACACCCAGAAGCGCGCACAGTCAGCGGGGGGGACACGCGGCTGTGACCGCACGGAGACCTCCAGAGAACACCAACGACTCGCACGGACCTCACGCCGGGGTTATACACACACAGCGCCAGGTGACACACAGCGCCAGGTGACACACAGCGCCAGGTGACACACCGCGCCAGGTAACTAATCCGAGGGCGAAGTCGACCAGTTCAGATAATCGCAATCATCGGTGTCACGAACAGGAATCAAACCCGGGTCCCCCCCCCCCCGCTCTGCTGCTAACCGCTGCGCCGCCACTCCACACTAACACACGGCACCCCCGTGGCACTATAGGCGCAAAGACAAAGATCCCCCGTATAGCCTTAACAGACTGTAGGGGCAAGTGCTGTTAGCGAGCACCTATGAAAGCCGACACTGTGGCACACGAGGGGGTGGGTGGCCAGCACCACGGCCGGCTGCCTTTTGTCTCCCCAGTGGCGATGTTTACTACACAGCGCACCAGGTACTCATTTGAGGCCGAGTCGACCTAGGGGAGGCCCAGGACCGGTTCAGATAATCGTCACTGGTGTTTGCCGTGAGCGGGAATCGAACTCGTGTCGCCAGATTCGTCGCGCAGCATAGCGCTAACCGCTACACTATCCCACACACACACACATGAGTATCCCACACACACGCGCACACACGTGTCACACGCGCACACACACACACGTGTCACACGCGCACACACGTGTCACACGCGCACACACATGTATCCCGCACACACACGTGTATCCCGCACACACGCGTGTCTCCCGCGCACACACACACACACACAGTGTATCCCACACACACACACGCGTGTCTCCCACACACACGCGTGTCTGTCTGTCGTTGTAGTAGTTGTTGGTACCTCCGCCCGGGGAGCTTCCCCCGTCTGGACGAGGAGCCTTGCACTTGTTGCACTCGTTCCTCCACGCAAAGTTCTGGTTGCCACACGACCTGCAGCAGCAGCAGCAGCAGGAGCAGCAGGAGCAGCAGGAGCAGCAGGAGAGAGACAGAGGGGGGGAGCAGCAGCAGCAGGAGAGAGAGGGGGGGTCATCAACCCAGGAGTCCACGGAAGGGAACCCCCCAAACACACACAGCCTGCACCCAGAGCCTCCCAGTCTCCCCTGTGTGGTTGCCGTGTGGTTGCGTTGCCGTGTGGTTGCGTTGCCGTGTGGTTGCGTTGCCGTGTGGTTGCGTTGCCGTGTGGTTGCGTTGCCGTGTGGTTGCGTTGCCGTGTGGTTGCGTTGCCGTGTGGTTGCGTTGCCGTGTGGTTGTGTTGCCGTGTGGTTGTGTTGCCGTGTGGTTGCGTTGCCGTGTGGTTGCGTTGCCGTGTGGTTGCGTTGCCGTGTGGTTGCGTTGCCGTGTGGTTGCGTTGCCGTGTGGTTGCGTTGCCGTGTGGTTGCGTTGCCGTGTGGTTGCGTTGCCGTGTGGTTGCGTTGCCGTGTGGTTGCGTTGCCGTGTGGTTGCGTTGCCGTGTGGTTGCGTTGCCGTGTGGTTGCGTTGCCGTGTGGTTGCGTTGCCGTGTGGTTGCGTTGCCGTGTGGTTGCGTTGCCGTGTGGTTGCGTTGCCGTGTGGTTGCGTTGCCGTGTGGTTGCGTTGCCGTGTGGTTGCGTTGCCGTGTGGTTGCGTTGCCGTGTGGTTGCGTTGCCGTGTGGTTGCGTTGCCGTGTGGTTGCGTTGCCGTGTGGTTGCGTTGCCGTGTGGTTGCGTTGCCGTGTGGTTGCGTTGCCGTGTGGTTGTGTTGCCGTGTGGTTGCGTTGCCGTGTGGTTGCGTTGCCGTGTGGTTGCGTTGCCGTGTGGTTGCGTTGCCGTGTGGTTGCGTTGCCGTGTGGTTGCGTTGCCGTGTGGTTGCGTTGCCGTGTGGTTGTGTTGCCGTGTGGTTGTGTTGCCGTGTGGTTGCGTTGCCGTGTGGTTGTGTTGCCGTGTGGTTGCGTTGCCGTGTGGTTGCGTTGCCGTGTGGTTGCGTTGCCGTGTGGTTGTGTTGCCGTGTGGTTGCGTTGCCGTGTGGTTGCGTTGCCGTGTGGTTGTGTTGCCGTGTGGTTGTGTTGCCGTGTGGTTGTGTTGCCGTGTGGTTGTGTTGCCGTGTGGTTGTGTTGCCGTGTGGCCGCGTTGCCGTGTGGTTGTGTTGCCGTGTGGCCGCGTTGCCGTGTGGTTGTGTTGCCGTGTGGTTGTGTTGCCGTGTGGCCGCGTTGCCGTGTGGTTGTGTTGCCGTGTGGCCGCGTTGCCGTGTGGTTGTGTTGCCGTGTGGTTGTGGTGTTGCTGCGGTTGCCGCGGTTACTCACGGGTTGGGGCAGTCCCAGTCTCCGGCTCTCTGACCCCCGTTGGGGCCTCCGGGTCCCCCTCCCCCTCCTCCACGGCCCCCGAAACCTCCACCCCCCCCTCGGTCCCCACCCCCTCGGTCCCCACCCCCGCGACCTGGGGAGACGGCGCCACACAAAACCACTCACACTCACCACCGCCCCCTCACCACCACCACAACCACCACCACAACCACCACCACCGCCACCACCACCGCCACCACCCTCACCGCCACCACAACCACCACCGCCCTCACCGCCACCACAACCACCACCGCCCCCTCACCACCACAACTACCACCGCCCCCTCACCACCACCACAACCACCACCGCCCTCACCGCCACCACAACCACCACCACAACAACCACCACCACCGCCCCCACCGCCACCACAACCACCACCGCCACCACAACCACCGCCCCCTCACCACCACAACCACCGCTCTCACCACAACCACCGCCCTCACCACAACCACCGCCCTCACCACCACCACAACCACCGCCCCCTCACCACCACAACCACCGCCCTCACCACAACCACTGGCCCCCTCACCACCACAACCACCGCCCCCTCACCACCACCACAACCACCCAACCCCTCCACCCCCTCCCTTACCTCAACCCCCTCACCACCTCCCCCACCCCTCCCAATCAACTCAGAATCTGCGTTCATCCGGCAAAAATCTGAAGAGCTCTCAAGCTCTTGTTGGTGGTGTTTCATGATGGCCGACTCACCTCTACCGCGCCAGTTGGAGCCAAAGTCGGAGCGGCGAGTGGCAAACGACACCTTGATCTTGCCTCCGTTGAACTCCTTGCCTGCACCACCACAATCACCACAATCACCACCACAATCACCACCACAATCACCACCACAATCACCACCACAATCACCACCACAATCACAATCACCATCACCATCACAACCACCACAACCACCGCCTGTGCACACGCCTGTGCACACACGCCTGCGCACACACGCCTGCGCACACGCGCCTGCACTGCCATTCACCATGAAGTGGCGGCGCTTGTGCCAGGCTATGTGCACGTTAAAGCCACGTGAAGCGTCAAACGCCCGCTGGCAGGTCACGGGACAGACCCAGGTGCCATAGGTTGACCGAGATGACTGGCTGATGCACCACCTGTGCCCCTACGCTAGCGCACACACAACACACACATGCCTGCACACACAACACACATGCCTGCACACACACACACGTGCCTGTACGTGTGTTGTGTGTGCGTTCATCTCACCGTCGAACCAGTCGATGGCGGCCTTGGCGGAGGGGGGGTCGTCAAAGGAGACGGTGGCCTCCCCCTTGGGCTTGCCGGTCTCACGGTCCGTGTAGATGTTGATCATGGGGCTACCCGTGCGCTTGTTGATCTGTCACACACACACAGAGACCTTGACTAAAGACACACACACAGAGACCTTGACTACACACACAGAGACCTTGACTATAGAGATTCACCCACAGACTTGAGACTCAAGAGACCCACAGATCTACAGAGAGCCACGGACTCCTCCCACTCCCACCTCATATTCTTAGGTTTTTTCGGTAAAGTCACGTAGGTAAAACATCAAAATTAATAAAAAATAAAACAAAAATCACTCCCACCTCCTCCCACGCAGCTCCCCCTTCCTCCTCCTCCCCCAACTCACCTTGATGATGCCGATCTGCTTGAAGAACTCCGCCACCTGCTCCACGGTGACCTCGTCGCCCATGCCCTGGACGAAGATGGTGTTGTTGTCTGCGTTATCCTGGTCTGTGGGTGAGTGGGGGGGTGGGGTGGAGCGATGAGAAATCTGTCCACAACCACCGCTCAACCACAACAACCGCCAACAACCAACAACCACCCAGCAGCGGAAGAACGGCAGCGCAACCGCTGCCCCCAAAAGCGTGGGGCCCAGGGCAGTCACCACCCCAAATCCACACCCCCACTCCTGCCTCTCCCCGACCAACTTTCGACCACCCACCTCCCCACCTCCTCTCCCTCCCCACCAATTTAAGGTGAACCAGCTTAGGGCAATAAACCAATGTCAGTCTGTAGAACTTCTTTCGCAGCATAGCCACCTGTGCGGATCTCACCGTAATCCGGGGAGTGTCCCCTAAACGAGAGAAAACTAAAATCTTTTATTTTATTTTTTCCCGGGTGTAAGGCACCAACCGATAGCTCAGCCCAAGTGGTGGCTCATCATCATCACCACCGCGTGGAAATTGATAGCAGCAGCCAAAAACTCCTGAACGTGGAAGATGTCGATTCCAAACGTGGAGGGGAAAAAAAAAAAAAAAATCGGGAAGATCCGGAGATAAAATCCACGTTAGTGACTTATCTCACGGGGAAAGAGACGCAATCTCAAAATATACAGGTGTCGTCAGGATCGGGATCGAACCCACGACCTCCTGTATACCAGGCGAGGTGGCTAACATCTCCTAGCCAGCGTGATGATGACGATGAGACACGCAAGGTATCGTCAGGGTCGAGATCAAACCCACGACCTCCTGCATACCAGGCGAGGTAGTTAACATCTCCCATCTACCGGACAAGAAAGAAAAACCCATCAGTGGACCTGCCCATGAATGCAAAGTAGGCGTTGCCTTTGGCTGCAAAGGGGGACGTCTCTGCCCAGATATCGTCAATCGAACCACAAGACGGCGAATCGATTCCGCTCGAAGTTTATCACGGACGCATACACATCGGAAGAGCATCGATTCAGAGGGTTAAACGCCCCCCCCCCCCCCCCCTGCTGTTTTCAATTGGCTGACATCTGCACGAATCCATTACAGCAGCCGCCGTTCAGCACTCTACACGTGCGTGTGTACGATGGACTTCTTTCACATCGTACGTGGCCAACCGTGGATGTCACTACGGCGTCCGTGCCAAGCTGGGTGCACTCCGAGTTTATCGCGTGAAGTGTCGAAGGCTAGCCGCTGGCAGGCGATGGAACAGACCCTGCAGGTGCCATGGGTTTGACTGCTGTGCCAGGCTAGGTGCAGGAGGTGGTGGTCACGGGACAAACCCAGGTGCCATGGGTTGACCGACAGATGCACCACCTGGCACTATCCCAACTCATTGTGTTTTATCCGCCCGGCGCTCCGCTCTTTGCGAGCGTTGCTCCTCTGCCCTCCGCTGTTGTTGGAGGGCGACTTGCCTTGGACTTGCAGTGCAGCGTCCGTTGTAACTGGCCATTAAACTTTAAATTAAAGGTTTTCATTTTAAAAATGTGGCAAGGTCGACTGAGCTACACAGCCCTTTCAGAAGCAAACTGGCTGTCAAATTATGTCTCAAAGAACAGGCTCGTCACGTGCACGTTTACAGCAACCAAATACTCTTAAAGCGTTGAGATGTTAATTCTAAATTTGAAGGGGGAAAAAAAATCCATGCAACCAAAAGGTGATCGAGATGCACAAACTCCAAATATACAGCAGGTGTCAGTCGGGATCTAACCCACGACCTCCTGTATACCCAGCGAGGTCGCTAACATCTCAGAGCCACTGTGGTGTCAGGGTCTGGGGTCAAACCTACGACCTCCTGTATAGCCAGCGAGGTCGCTAACATCTGAGCCACTGTGGTGTCAGGGTCTGGGGTCAAACCTACGACCTCCTGTATACAAGGCGAGGTAGCTAACATCTCCGAGCCACTGTGGTGTCAAGGTCGGGATTGAACCCACGACCTCTTGTATACAGGGCGAGGTAGCTAACATCTCTCAGCCACGGCGAGTTTGAGCTCTTGGGAGACCGAGAAAGAACCGGTCGGTCCATCTTCGGTCGCCAGGGCTGAGGTGACTTTGGGTCACGACTTCCTATTTTTGTACCGGAGCGGTCTGTGTGAAGGCTGATGTGATACCACCACCACCACCCATCCACCCTCACCCACATAGGGAGGGGGGAAACCAGCACCACCAATACCACCACCACCACAATGGGCAGTCCCTCCTAACCCGGCGTCGCCTCAACGCACTCCACCACTAACTGGGGGAGTGTCGTGACACCTCGGCTAACCGCAAGGGGGTTTTGTGTTGTAGTAACAGGTTTTTACCCTTTCAACTGGTACAAAACCTGACACCTTTATACAAGGGATGTTTGCAATAACCACAACACAAGCAGTCAAAATGCAAACAAAAAGAAACAACTCTGATGATAATGATATGCGCTGTCCTTGAAGTTGATTGGTCCACACCCGAGACAGCTTTTCTTAGAGCCTAGTCTCCATTGGTGTTAGACCAGATGACGCCAAAAGGCGTACAACTCAAAAGCAGTGCACTATCAGAGTATTGAGAGCTCGGGGTAAGCATTTACACTATGAGACCTCCTTTAGGTGTTAGTTTTTGTACCGTTGAAAGGGTTTAAACCTATTACTACATTTTGCCACTGGTAAAGGTCAGTGTAAATGCTTACCGAGCTCTCAATACTCTGATAGTGCACTGTCTGAGTTGTACGCCTTTTGGCGTTATCTGGTCCAACACCAATGGAGACTAGGCTCTAAGAAAAGCTGTCTCAGGTGTGGACCAATCAACTTCAAGGACAGTGCATATCATTATCAGAGTTGTTTCTTTTTGCTTGAATTTTGACTGCTTGTGTTGTGGTTATTGCAAACATGATCCCTTGTATAAAAGTGTCAGTTTTTGTACCAGTTGAAAGGGTAAAAACCGATTACTATATTTTGCCACTGGTAAAGGAGATCTCTCATAGTGTGGGGTTTGTGTTGTGGCGCGGCCGTGTGCCCATCCATCGGGTGGCCAATGCCAACCCCGTGCATCACCCCGTCCGCTCGTAATGATGCAGTACAACGGAGACTCGTGGAGCTTGAATCTGTGATCTCTGTACAGGAGCTGGAGTCTGTGAACTCTGTACAGGAGCTAGAGTCTGTGAACTCTATACTGCAGCTGGAGTCTGTGAACTCTGTACTGCAGCTGGAGTCTGAACTCTGTACAGGAGCTGGAGTCTGTGAACTCTGTACTGGAGCTGGAGTCTGTGAACTCTGTACAGAAGCTGAGTCTGATCTCTGTACTGGAGCTGGAGTCTGTGAACTCTGTACAGAAGCTGGAGTCTGATCTCTGTACAGGAGCTTGAATCTGTGATCTCTGTACAGGAGCTGAGTCTGATCTCTGTACTGGAGCTGAGTCTGTGAACTCTGTACTGCAGCTTGAATCTGTGATCTCTGTACAGGAGCTGGAGTCTGATCTCTGTACAGGAGCTGGAGTCTGATCTCTGTACAGGAGCTGGAGTCAGTGAACTCTGTACAGGAGCTGGAGTCTGTCAACTCTGTACAGGAGCTGGAGTCTGTGATCTCTGTACTGGAGCTGTGAACTCTGTACAGGAGCTGGAGATCGTGAATTCTACACTGGGAGCTTGAGTCTGAATTCTGTTCAGAAGCTGTACACCAAAGTGATGTAAAATCTCCCACGCAGAACACGCGTTAAACTCGTCGCTGTAGCAACTCTACACTCTGCAGTGGGAGAGCACGATTTTTCGCTGGCTTGAGCGTGGGGATCCCACATCTATCACGCCCCGTGTCAATTACTCACCAAGTCAGACACCTCCCCCCCCCCAACCAACAAAGAATGAGTGCACACAAAGTAATTGTAGACAGTCCTTCCCTCCACCTACTACCCCCCTCCAGGATTCCCCACCAACACCGCAGTCCCGACTGGCATACACCACCCACACTGGGCGAGAACAAAAATGACAACCCTCGATCTCGCCGTTTCCTTTTGTGCTCTTTGGTTCTTTCGGGTAAAGTTGTGTAGTTAGAAATACAATAAAATCACGTTTAGATTGCAACACACGCAATTATCAGGTGGGAAAACCACTGTAAGAAAAAAAAAATTCTTGCTGAAAAGAATGTTTTTGTCTTGCTGTGGTTTTCCCACCCGATGACGATTTGCTTGTGTTGCAATCAAAACGTCGTGATTTGTTTTTATTTTGTGCCCAACTACGTGACTTTACCGAACGAACCAATGAGTATGGATTCCTGCAGTCACAAAAGCTTCAAATCAAGATTGTTCCTTTCGTGGCGTGGCTGCGGTGGTGTCGAGCCGGCGACACCGACTGCTCTGCAGATGATTATTGTTTTTTTACCCTTCTATCTGGCAACAAAACTAACACCTTTTTTACGAGGAGTCATGTTTGCATAGACCACAATACCTGCAGCCATAATGCAAACAAAAAACATAACTCTGATAATATGCACGGTCCTTGAGGCTGATTAGTCCACACTCGAGATGCCTTTTGGCGTCATCTGGTCCAACACCATGTGAGACTAGGCTCTAAGGAAAGCTGTCTCGGGTGTGGAGCAATCAACTTCAAGGACAGTGCATATCCATTATCAGAGTTGTGTTTTACTGGTAGGAACGAAGTGAACCAGCCTACAATAGATTAAATCGTCCGTCCGTGTAGCAACATCGCCCCCTACTGCAAACACTTGGCAGGACCCTACAAAAACCTTTAGACGCAGTGACGCTTTCCTGGCTAAACAAGTGTAACATTCCCTTAATTCCCTGAGATAATTTTTAATTTAAATGTTTTAATTAAAAGCCAACTCACAGCGGCCTAAAGCCTACAGCTAGGCCTAAAGCCTAGAACTAGGCCTCAAACTCTCCCTTCGTATCGTACCCCCGCGTGTGTGAAAGGGAGTTAATGTTTAACAATGTCATTCCCTTATGTTTTTAAATAGAAACATTTAAATTTAAAGCTTTTACATTAATAATTAAAACATTTAAATAAAAATTTAACTCACAGCGGCCTAAAGCCTACAGCTAGGCCTAAAGCCTAGAATTAGGCCTCAAACTCTCCCTTCGTATCGTCCGATTAGGTGTAGCAACATCGCCCCCTACTGCAAACACTTGGCAGGACCCGACAAAAACCTTTAGACTCAGTGAGGCTTTCCTAGCTAAACAAGTGTAATAATACATGTTTATATTCTTTGGTTATTCGTTCCTACCAGCCCACCCCGCAGGGTCCTGTTTTGTTGGCATTATGGCTGCAGGTATTGTGGTCTATGCAAACATGACTCCTCGTAAAAAAAGATGTCAGTTTTGTTGCCAGATAGAAGGGTAAAAAAACAATTATCATATTTTTTAACTGGCAAATGAGGTTCCAATGGTGCTCTGCAGATGTCGAGACATCGCACAGAATGAACAGGCGGGTACCACTCCACGTGCACTCTGCTGGCAGAGGCCTTGGGGGCTTAGTCCTCGACGGCTCACCCAACCCACCGGAATTAAGGAGCTGGAACAGATGGGAGATTAGTCCACACTGTGCTGTACCGCCCTCTCCTGGCAGAAGCCTGGGACTACGGGTCCTTGCGACACCCACCCACGAGTTAGAGGGGGCGTGTTTAACAGACAGATCAGTCCACACATTACGGCTTACTCCTCAAAGCAGCCAGGGGTTGGAGGGAGTCTCCCAACATCTCTGCGGCGATCCACCAAACCCAGGCGCTGCTGTTGCTGCTGCTGCCGCCTCAACGGCTGGGGGTAGGAGGCAGGAGTTCACCACCGTTGCACCACCCCACCCGCCACCCCCACTGCAGTGATCTCTCGGACATCGCTACCCAACTAGGAAGCCAAATAGGAACCAAAGTAGCCCCCCCCCCCCCCCCCCCCAACCTAACACCACCGCGCCTCTCCGCAACACACCGGCACCACAGAAGGCAGTAGTGAGTAGGAGTAACTCTGGTTCACTTACCACTTGGTTTACCGTAGCCGCTATGGTCACCAGCGCTGTAGTCGGTGCGACAAGAGGACACGGCAGACAAAAGTGAAGCACTCTCCTCAGTGGGAGGGGGGACTGTGGCACCGAAAATAAAACCACAACCGTGGCCACTCCTCCATCCACCCCACCCACCACCACCACCACCACCGCAGAGGAGCGGTCAACCGCTCCACCCTTCGCTTGGTGCTCCACCACCCCCGGCTCCACCGCTTCCCACACCGGAGGGAGCCGATGATACCTCCCCCCCCCCGGCGCGCTCCTGCATTTTGTTTAAGCTGCGTGTCTCGTCACTGCTGTGTGGTGGTGGTGGTGTGGGCGGTCTTGACGCCGCTGTCGTCATCCACCACCACCACCAGTACGGGGTAAAAGCACCCACAGGTGGCAGCGGCATTGGCGCCGACATCCTCCACTAAAGTTGGGTGACGTCACCACGGCGTCTGTGCCAAGGCCAGGCTCTCGTTGGAGGCCATCACGTGAAGCGTCGAAGGCTCGCTCGCTGCTGGAGGTCACGGGACAGACCCTGCAGGTGCCGTGGGTTGACTGCTGTGCCAGGCTAGGCGCACAGCTGGAGGTCACGGGACAGACCCTGCAGGTGCCGTGGGTTGAGCGACTGCTCTACCTTTTAGAGCGCCCGCCCACCACCCCCCCCACGCGCGCTCTGTCGGTACAGAACCCCACCACCTCCCCACCTGCCATTTTTGTCAGCCTCAAGGCCGACCCCCCCCCCCCCCATGAACCTCCGGCTACGAGGCTTCGGCTACAGCACCACCACCACCACCACTCGTCCACGGCAGCGGTGGGTGGCCCAATCTCTGTTGTGGTTGTTCCCGTTGTTCGCTTTGCTGTTGTGAACAGTGAAACTGAAACCTGGCCCCTGAACGCCGATCGTTGGCTATATACCCACCACCTCTACCACCACTCGAGCATGGCGGTGGGTAGAACCCCATCTCTGTCGTTGTCGGCGTTGTTGTGTAGCGACACCGAAACCTGACACTTGACCGCCGATTTGTCGGTAGAACCCATGTGCGTCCCCTTGTTGGCGTTGTTATTGTTGGCTAGACACCACCTCTCCCACCACGGTGGTCGGCAAATCCATCTCGTGTCGTTGTTGCGAGTTGTTAACGGTGACAATGAAACCCAACACCCGATCGATCGTCCTACTGTTGTCTATACACCACCACCACCACCCAACCATCGTGGAGGGTTGTTGGCATTGTTGGCATTGTTGTTGGAATTTAAATTGACGTCAACGGTGACACTGAAAAACCTGACACCAGACCGATGTTTGTTGTCTATACACCACCACCACCCAACCATCGTGGAGGGTTGTTGGCATTGTTGTTGGCATTGTTGTTGGCACTTAAGTTGTTTTCGTCAACAGTGACACTGAAAAACCCGACACCAGACCGATGTTTGTTGGCTATCCACCACCACCCCCCACCTGCCTGACACCACAAACTCAAAACCTCTGCCTCTCCCCCAGCACACCCCTCACGCTACTTTGACCAAAAACCCAGGAGGGGGGGGGGGCTGGTTGTTCTGTGGGGGAGGGACGGGGAAGGGGGGCAACGCAACTCTGCTTGACGGGAGGAGGGGTGACTACAAAAGCTGTGGTGGCAGCATTGATTTGATATTCCCTGCCTCTCCCTGCGTGTGGCCGTTTGCACTCCTGCCCAGTTTTGTTGCGTCTGCCTTTGTGTGTTGGGGGGGGAAGGGATGGGGGGGGGGGGGGAGTTGTAACCTGCAGTGTACAAATGCATCGCAAACATTAACACTTCCACTTTCCGTCACAAGCCATCCACCCACAGCATAGGGGTTCCACCACAGTCACAGCTCATGCCAGAGGTTACAGACGCACGGCACACTCGCAGCGACACTCGCAGGCCTACGGACACACACGGACACAAGCACAGACGGACACACACGCACACGGGATTGACAGGGACGGTGACATTCACCCAGCCGATTAATTGGGCCTCGCTTGAAGGATATCCATCGTAAGCAGATCAACTCGTCCACCACCACCACCACCTCTTCCTCCACCACCACCTCGTCCTCCAACACCTCTTCCTCCACCACCACTGTCTCACCCCTTGTACCGTGTACCGCCACGCAGGCACCACCACAACTTTTACCAACCACCAACTCGGTAAAGACTCCCATGGACCGGACCACCTCCCCCCCCCCACCCTCTTCGCCACTCGGCACGACTATAGAGACCACCACCACCTCCAGTACGGGTGTCAAACTTCTTCTTGTGTCGTACGCAGCCAAGCCAGCCGTGATGAATCAGGAGCCCTCCAACCACCACCCCGACCACCACCACCGCCCTGACCACCCCTCACCATGACCACCACCACCCTGACCACCACCTTGACCACCCCTCACCATGACCACCACCGCCCTGACCATCCCTCACCATGACCACCGCTCACCATGACCACCCCTCACCATGACCACCCCTCACCATGACCACCACCACCCTGACCACCACCTTGACCACCCCTCACCATGACCACGACCTTGAACCACCTTGACCAAGAGATTTCGGCCCCGAGAGGGAGGGGCGTTTGGCTACGCATGCTCTCGTGCAGTCACTCACCACCACCACTAGCACCACCACCACTACCACCACCAGTACCACCACCACTAGTACCACCACTAGTACCACCACCACCACCTCTAGTACCACCTCTACCTCCACCACCTCTACCACCACCACCTCTAGTACCACCACCACCACCAGGCACTGCCTCAGCAGCCTTCCGTGTGACCTGCGAGTGGGTCTGTTACGCCTCTACAACCAACACCAAGCGAGCAACCCTCCCTCGGAGGAAACCACCAACGCAAACCAAGGCTCCTGGTCACACGTGGCCAACACTTACGGAGCCAAACCGGAGGGTCGAGGGACCCCCCCCCCTCTTCCAAGGAGACGGCATCGGTGACGGACGGGCGAGCCGGCCTGCCTATCCACTCGCTCGCTACAGCCTCTTCACTCCCCCAGCAGCAACGCTGGACAAACCTCGCCCTCACCACCCATCCCTGCAGTCGCCCCTCAACCGAATCACTCACCACCACCAGGCAGGCGCTGCCTCCCCGTGTGAGCTGTGAGTGGCTCTGTTACGCCGCCTCTACAACACCGGCCCACCAACCAACCCTCCTCGGATATGCCGACCAACCAACCAGGGGTCACACTCCAGCTCCTGACCTGCCTACCGCTCAACTTGACCTCTCGTCTCTCCCCCCCTCCCCGCCCGCCCGGCCGAAACAATGAACCACCACCACCACATTCCTCACCCACAAACACCCTTCAACGGATCACTCAACAAACACCACCATCACCACCACCACCCGCGCACTCAATTAAAGGCGGACAGAAACAGTGTTCTAGATTTGAAGCTTTCGTGACTGCAAGGATTCATATTCTTAGGTTTAATCGGTAAAGTCACGTAGAAAAAAAATTAAAATTTATAATATCTTGATACAGCTATCGTGCTGTGACTGTTCCACCTGAAGACGGAAGCTTGTGTTGCCTCCAAAACGTCGTGATTTTTATTTTACTTTTATTCATTTAAATTTTTTACCTACGTGACTTTACCGAAAAAACCTAAGAATAAAAAAGTGCCCGGCATTCTTAACGCCGGACAAGAGACAAGGGGGTGGGGGGTGGCTGGCGTGCGTTCTCCGTTCCCTGCGCTGCGTGTGCGAGGGAGACTTCCCATGATGGCTACTCGTGTGTTTGTCTTCTTGGAACTTTCTACCGGGGGCAAGGCCTCGACACTGGAGCGCTCCCTGGTCATGGCACGTAACGGCAGCAGCTCGGTCATCGTCGTCGGGCAGAAATTTATAGCGGCAGCCAAAGTAACTCTTAAAAATGCGTCGATTCTAAAATGTGAAGGGGGGAAAAAATCCACGCAGTGATCACCACGGGGGAAAGTTTGAGACGGGCAAACTCCAAATATACGGCAGCAGGCGTCGTCAGGATCCGGGATCGAACCCACGACCTCCTGTGTACCAGGCGAGGCAGTCAACATCTCCTAGCCACCATGGTGTCAGGATCAAACCCACGACCTCCTGTATACCAGGCGAGGCAGTCAACATCTCCTAGCCACCGTGGTGTCAGGATCGAACCCACGACCTCCTGTGTACCAGGCGAGGCAGTCAACATCTCTGCCTAGCCACTGTGGGGTGCGTTAGGGGCCCCTGGACCCATCGTGTCGACGTGCCACTGCCAAAGCGCTCCCCCCAAAAAGGTGGCACTCTCTCTCTCTCTCTCCAGCAGACTTGTGAGGGTGGAGGCAGCAGTGCCGGCAGCAAGTAGCGCCTACGACTGCCGGCAGCGAGTAGCACACGCCACCCCTGCCATGGCCGCCTTTGTCTCTCCCCGGTGGGCGATGCGCACCACACACACACCGCTATGTACACCTGGGGGAGGGGGGTTACTCATGAGGGCCAATCCTCCGTCGGGAATCTAACAGGGTGGCGGGGTCCCTCCGGGGCAAATTATTGATTCCGATTGCGTCTCTGGCCGGGTGGGATGGGTGGGAGGTTGGAGTCTTGAGGCACGAGCAGCGTTGGAAACGGAGACCACCACCACCATCAACACCATCATCAACACCATCAACACCATCAACACCACCACCACACAGTCAGTAGGATTGATCGCCGGAGCTGAGACCAAGGACTCATTATCGGGGTCCTGAGGCAGGAATCGGGGGGGAATTCCTCGTCCGGATCCTACAGATTCTGTGCAGATCCTACTGATTGTATGCAGATTATACAAATATTGCGTTCGGATCCTACAGACTATACAGATCCTACAGATTTCATGCGGATCCTTCACATTCTGTATGGATCCAGATCCTATAGATTGCATGTGGACCCCACAGATTGCATGGGGATCCCACAGATGGCATCCGGATCCTATGGGCGCCATGGACCCAAAACCCCGTGGGGCTGCCTCTGCCGTGCCGACCCCGAGTCTGTCTCAGCTCCGTCACCAACAAGCGCGACACGCCAGTGAGTGGAGTGTGGTGAGAGTGGTGAAGTGTGAGCATCGTGTAGCGTGAGTGTAGGGGGTGTGGAGTGTATAGTATTAGTAGCGCGGTGTCAGGGTGCGGTGTCAGGGCATGGTGTGAGAGTGGTGTGAGAGAGTGGTGTGAGAGAGTGGTGCTGAGAGAGTGGTGCGAGAGAGTGGTGCGAGAGAGTGGTGCGAGAGAGTGGTGCGAGAGAGTGGTGCGAGAGAGTGGTGCGAGAGAGTGGTGCGAGAGAGTGGTGCGAGAGAGTGGTGCGAGAGAGTGGTGCGAGAGAGTGGTGCGAGAGAGTGGTGCGAGGGAGTGGTGCGAGAGAGTGGTGCGAGAGAGTGGTGCGAGAGAGTGGTGCGAGAGAGTGGTGCGAGAGAGTGGTGCGAGAGAGTGGTGCGAGAGAGTGGTGCGAGAGAGTGGTGCGAGAGAGTGGTGCGAGAGAGTGGTGCGAGAGAGTGGTGCGAGAGAGTGGTGCGAGAGAGTGGTGCGAGAGAGTGGTGCGAGAGAGTGGTGCGAGAGAGTGGTGCGAGAGAGTGGTGCGAGAGAGTGGTGCGAGAGAGTGGTGCGAGAGAGTGGTGCGAGAGAGTGGTGCGAGAGAGTGGTGCGAGAGAGTGGTGCGAGAGAGTGGTGCGAGAGAGTGGTGCGAGAGAGTGGTGAGAGAGAGTGGTGAGAGAGAGTGGTGCGAGGGAGTGGTGCGAGAGAGTGGTGCGAGAGAGTGGTGCGAGAGAGTGGTGCGAGAGAGTGGTGCGAGAGAGTGGTGCGAGAGAGTGGTGCGAGAGAGTGGTGCGAGAGAGTGGTGCGAGAGAGTGGTGCGAGAGAGTGGTGCGAGAGAGTGGTGCGAGAGAGTGGTGCGAGAGAGTGGTGCGAGAGAGTGGTGCGAGAGAGTGGGGCGAGAGAGTGGTGCGAGAGAGTGGTGCGAGGAGAGTGGTGCGAGAGAGTGGTGCGAGAGAGTGGTGCGAGAGAGTGGTGCGAGAGAGTGGTGCGAGAGAGTGGTGCGAGAGAGTGGTGCGAGAGAGTGGTGCGAGAGTGTGCGAGAGAGTGGTGCGAGAGAGTGGTGCGAGAGAGTGGTGCGAGAGAGTGGTGCGAGGGAGTGGTGCGAGGGAGTGGTGCGAGGGAGTGGTGCGAGGGAGTGGTGCGAGGGAGTGGTGCGAGAGAGTGGTGCGAGAGAGTGGTGCGAGAGAGTGGTGCGAGAGAGTGGTGCGAGAGAGTGGTGCGAGAGAGTGGTGCGAGAGAGTGGTGCGAGAGAGTGGTGCGAGAGAGTGGTGCGAGAGGAGTGGTGCGAGAGAGTGGTGCGAGAGAGTGGTGCGAGAGAGTGGTGCGAGAGAGTGGTGCGAGAGAGTGGTGCGAGAGAGTGGTGCGAGAGAGTGGTGCGAGAGAGTGGTGCGAGAGAGTGGTGCGAGAGAGTGGTGCGAGGGAGTGGTGCGAGGGAGTGGTGCGAGAGAGTGGTGCGAGAGAGTGGTGCGAGAGAGTGGTGCGAGAGAGTGGTGCGAGAGAGTGGTGCGAGAGAGTGGTGCGAGAGAGTGGTGCGAGAGAGTGGTGCGAGAGAGTGGTGCGAGAGAGTGGTGCGAGAGAGTGGTGCGAGAGAGTGGTGCGAGAGAGTGGTGCGAGAGAGTGGTGCGAGAGAGTGGTGCGAGAGAGTGGTGCGAGAGGAGTGGTGCGAGAGAGTGGTGCGAGAGAGTGGTGCGAGAGAGTGGTGCGAGAGAGTGGTGCGAGAGAGTGGTTGCGAGAGAGTGGTGCGAGAGAGTGGTGCGAGAGAGTGGTGCGAGAGAGTGGTGCGAGAGAGTGGTGCGAGAGAGTGGTGCGAGAGAGTGGTGCGAGAGAGTGGTGCGAGGGAGTGGTGCGAGGGAGTGGTGCGAGGGAGTGGTGCGAGGGAGTGGTGCGAGAGAGTGGTGCGAGAGAGTGGTGCGAGAGAGTGGTGCGAGAGAGTGGTGTGAGAGAGGTGTGAGAGAGTGGTGTGAGAGTGGTGTGAGAGAGTGGTGCGAGAGAGTGGTGTGAGAGAGGTGTGAGAGAGTGGTGTGAGAGTGGTGTGAGAGAGTGGTGCGAGAGAGTGGTGCGAGAGAGTGGTGTGAGGGAGTGGTGCGAGAGAGTGGTGTGTGAGAGTGGTGCGAGAGAGTGGTGCGAGAGAGTGGTGTGTGAGAGTGGTGTGAGAGAGTGGTGTGAGGGGATTGCAGCGTGCGAGTCTGGTGTGTGAAGCGCGAGTCTGGTGTGCGAGCACAAAGTGCGAGGCATGAGCGTTGCGTGGGGTGTAGTGGGTGGTTAGGTGAGTGTTTGGTTGGGTGAGTGGGTGAGTGTGTGGTTGGGTGAGTGTGTGGTTGGGTGAGTGAGTGGGTGGGTGAGTGGGTGGGTGGGGTGAGTGGGTGGGTGCAGTGTCTGCCTGCGCCACCGGTCATCACGGTGTGGGTGGGTGAGTGGTGGGTGCAGTGTCTGCCTGCGCCACCGGTCATCACGGTGCGGGTGGGTGGGTGGTGGGTGCCTACCTCATGCCACCTCCGCCGCGCCCGCCCCGGCCACCACCTCGCTCGTACCCCCCACCTCCACCACCTCGCTCGTACCCTCCACGGTCGTACCCACCGCCACCACCACCACCGCCACGGCCACCATAGCCTCCTCCTCCTCCTCGCCCGCGGTATCCCCCGTCCTGCCCGTACCCTCCCCCTCCTCCTCCACCTGCAGTGGCGGCAGCAGCAGCAGCAGCAGCAGCAGAAAATAGGGTCAGACTGAGCGGCGACCCACCACCACCACAAGCCTCGTCGTCACGCCGCCACCCCCACCCACACACTGCCACCACCGCCACCTCCCCCAACACCCACCGCCCCCCCCATCACCCTCCTCCCCCCCCCCCATCACCCACCGCCCCCCCCATCACCCTCCTCCACCCCCGATCACCCACCGCCCCCCCATCACCCTCCTCCACCCCCCTCATCACCCTCCACCACCCCCCCCATCACCCCCCCCCATCACCACCCCCCCCATCACCCTCCTCCACCCCCCCCACCATCACCCTCCACCACCACCCCCCCACCATCACCCTCCTCCACCCCCCCCAACATCACCCTCCACCACCACCCCCATCACCCTCCCCCCCCATCACCCTCCTCCCCCCCCATCACCCACCGCCCCCCCCATCACCCACCCCCCCTCCATCACCCTCCTCCACCCCCCCATCACCCTCCACCACCCCCCCCCCCATCACCCTCCACCACCACCCCCCCACCATCACCCTCCTCCACCCCCCCCCATCACCCTCCACCACCCCCCCCATCACCTCCTCCACCCCCCCCATCACCCCCCCCCCCATCACCCTCCACCACCCCCCCCCCATCACCCACTACATTCACAATTCCGTGTTGGAGAGTAAACCCACTACATCCACAATTCTGTGTTGGAGAGTAACCCACTACATTCACAATTCTGTGTTGGAGTGTAAACCCACTACATTCACAATTCTGTGTTGGAGAGTAACCACTACATCCACAATTCTGTGTTGGAGAGTAAACCCACTACATTCACAATTCCGGTTGGGTACCATTGGTGAGAGTAAACCCACGACATTCACAATTCTGTGTTGAGAGTAAACCCACTACATCCACAATTCTGTGTTGGAGAGTAAACCCACTACATCCACAATTCTGTGTTGGAGAGTAAACCCACTACATCCACAATTCTGTGTTGGAGTGTAAACCCACTACATCCACACATTCTGTGTTGGAGAGTAAACCCACTACATCCAACAATTCTGTGGTGGGATGTAAACCCACTACATCCACAATTCTGTGTTGGAGTGTAAACCCACTACATCCACAATTCTGTGTTGGAGTGTAAACCCACTACATCCACAATTCCTGTGTTGGAGTGTAAACCCACTACATCCACAATTCTGTGTTGGAGTGTAACCCACTACATCCACAATTCTGTGTTGGAGTGTAAACCCACTACATCCACAATCTGTGTTGGAGTGTAAACCCACTACATACACAATTCTGTGTTGGAGTGTAAACCCACTACATCACAATTCTGTGTTGGAGTGAAACCCACTACATTCACAATTCTGTGTTGGAGATGTAAACCCACTACATCACAATTCTGTGTTGGAGAGTAAACCACTACATCCACAATTCTGTGTTGGAGTGTAAACCCACTACATCCACAATTCTGTGTTGGAGAGTAAACCCACTACATTCACAATTCTGTGTTGGAGAGTAAACCACTACATCCACAATTCTGTGTTGGAGTGTAAACCCACTACATCCACAATTCTGTGTTGGAGAGTAAACCCACTACATCCACAATTCTGTGTTGGAGTGTAAACCCACTACATCACAATTCTGTGTTGGAGTGTAAACCCACTACATCACAATTCTGTGTTGGAGAGTAAACCCACTACATCCACAATTCTGTGTTGGAGTGTAAACCCACTACATCCACAATTCTGTGTTGGAGAGTAAACCCACTACATCCACAATTCTGTGTTGGAGTAAACCCACTACATCCACAATTCTGTGTTGGAGTAAACCCACTACATCACAATTCTGTGTTGGAGTGTAAACCCACTACATCACAATTCTGTGTTGGAGAGTAAACCCACTACATCCACAATTCTGTGTTGGAGTGTAAACCCACTACATCACAATTCTGTGTTGGAGTAAACCCACTACATCCACAATTCTGTGTTGGAGAGTAAACCCACTACATCCACAATTCTGTGTTGGAGGTAAACCCACTACATCCACAATTCTGGTTGGAGATGTAAACCCACTACATCCACAATTCTGTGTGGAGAGTAAACCCACTACATCCACAATTCTGTGTTGGAGAGTAACCCACTACATCCACAATTCTGTGTTGGGGAGTAAACCCACGACATCACAATTCGTGTTGGAGTGTAAACCCACGACATCCACAATTCTGTGTTGGAGTGTAAACCACTACATCCACAATTCTGTGTTGGAGAGTAACCCACTACATCACAATTCTGTGTTGGGAGTAACCCACTACATTCACAATTCTGTGTTGGAGAGTAAACCCACGACATTCACAATTCCGTGTTGGAGAGTAAACCCACTACATCCACAATTCTGTGTTGGGGAGTAAACCCACTACATCCACAATTCTGTGTTGGAGAGTAAACCCACTACATTCACAATTCTGTGTTGGGGAGTAAACCCACTACATCCACAATTCTGTGTTGGAGAGTAAACCCACTACATTCACAATTCTGTGTTGGAGAGTAAACCCACTACATTCACAATTCTGTGTTGGAGAGTAAACCCATTCACAATTCTGTGTTGGAGAGTAAACCCACTACATCACAATTCTGTGTTGGAGAGTAAACCCACTACATCACAATTCTGTGTTGGAGAGTAAACCCACTACCACAATTCTGTGTTGGAGAGTAAACCCACTACATCACAATTCTGTTGGGAGTAAACCCACTACATCACAATTCTGTGTTGGGAGTAAACCCACTACATCACAATTCTGTGTTGGAGAGTAAACCCACTACATTCACAATTCTGTGTTGGAGAGTAAACCCACTACATCACAATTCTGTGTTGGAGAGTAAACCCACTACATCACAATTCTGTGTTGGAGAGTAAACCCACTACATCCACAATTCTGTGTTGGAGAGTAAACCCACTACATTCACAATTCTGTGTTGGAGTAAACCCACTACATCACAATTCTGTGTTGGGAGTAAACCCACTACATCCACAATTCTGTGTTGGAGAGTAACCCACTACATCCACAATTCTGTGTTGGAGAGTAAACCCACTACATTCACAATTCTGTGTTGGAGGAGTAAACCACTACATCCACAATTCTGTGTTGGAGAGTAACCCAATACATCACAATTCTGTGTTGGAGAGTAAACCCACTACATCCACAATTCTGTGTTGGAGAGTAAACCCACTACATCTCACAATCTGTGTTGGAGAGTAAACCCACTACATCCACAATTCTGTGTTGGAGAGTAAACCCACTACATCCACAATTCTGTGTTGGGAGTAAACCCACTACATCCACATTCTGTGTTGGAGAGTAAACCCACTACATCCACAATTCTGTGTTGGAGAGTAAACCACTACATCACAATTCTGTGTTGGAGAGTTAAACCCACTACATCACATTCTGTGTTGGGGAGGTAAACCACTACATCCACAATTCTGTGTTGGAGAGTAAACCCACTACATCCACAATTCTGTGTTGGAGAGTAAACCACTACATTCACAATTCTGTGTTGGGAGTAAACCCACTACATCACAATTCTGTGGAGAGTAAACCCACTACATCACAATTCTGTGTTGGAGGTAAACCCACTATCCACAATTCTGTGTTGGAGAGTAAACCCACTACATCACAATTCTGTGTTGGAGAGTAAACCCACTACATCCACAATTCTGTGTTGGAGAGTAAACCCACTACATCCACAATTCTGTGTTGGAGAGTAAACCCACTACATCCACAATTCTGTGTTGGAGAGTAAACCCACTACATTCACAATTCTGTGTTGGAGTGTAAACCCACTACATCACAATTCTGTGTTGGAGAGTAAACCCACTACATCCACAATTCTGTGTTGGAGTGTAAACCCACTACATCACAATTCTGTGTTGGAGTGTAAACCCACTACATCACAATTCTGTGTTGGAGTAAACCCACTACATTCACAATTCTGTGTTGGAGAGTAAACCCACTACATCCACAATTCTGTGTTGGAGTGTAAACCCACTACATTCACAATTCTGTGTTGGAGTGTAAACCCACTACATCCACAATTCTGTGTTGGAGTGTAAACCCACTACATCACAATTCTGTGTTGGAGGTAAACCCACTACATCACAATTCTGTTGGAGAGTAAACCCACAATTCTGTGTTGGAGGTAAACCCACTACATTCACAATTCTGTGTTGGAGGTAAACCCACTACATCACAATTCTGTGTTGGAGAGTAAACCCACTACATCACAATTCTGTGTTGGAGAGTAAACCCACTACATCCACAATTCTGTGTTGGAGAGTAAACCCACTACATCACAATTCTGTGTTGGGAGTAAACCCACTACATCCACAATTCTGTGTTGGAGAGTAAACCCACTACATTCACAATTCTGTGTTGGAGAGTAAACCCACTACATTCACAATTCTGTGTTGGAGAGTAAACCCACTACATCCACAATTCTGTGTTGGAGAGTAAACCCACTACATCCACAATTCTGTGTTGGAGAGTAAACCCACTACATCCACAATTCTGTGTTGGGAGTAAACCCACTACATCCACAATTCTGTGTTGGAGAGTAAACCCACTACATCTACAATTCTGTGTTGGAGAGTAAACCCACTACATCCACAATTCTGTGTTGGAGAGTAAACCCACTACATCACAATTCTGTGTTGGGAGTAAACCCACTACATCACAATTCTGTGTTGGAGAGTAAACCCACTACATCACAATTCTGTGTTGGAGAGTAAACCCACTACATCCACAATTCTGTGTTGGAGAGTAAACCCACTACAACAATTCTGTGTTGGAGAGTAAACCCACTACATCCACAATTCTGTGTTGGGAGTAAACCCACTACATCACAATTCTGTGTTGGAGAGTAAACCCACTACATCCACAATTCTGTGTTGGAGAGTAAACCCACTACATCACAATTCTGTG